CACCCAACGTTTAACTACTTTAAATGCCAGCGAGATATTTGGTTTTTACATAGTAGTGAACAGAAGCAGCCTCTGACTCATTTAACACACAATGCGGGCTGGAGTGGGGGTGGAAGAGGTGGGGTTTGCCCAAAGCTTTTTTTCTTCTAAGAAACAAAACAAAACCAAACCATAAATGAACAATTTCACAGGTTACATTAGCTAGCTACTCACAGAGATGTAACTATCAACTGTTACTATACCCCTAACTTCCCAAAGAGAAAGAACTAATAAGATTAATAACTCTTCAGTTCTATGAAATAATATTTTCAAGTTTTTAATAACCAAGATTTTTTTTAACTGTTAGCTTTTTTTTTCTTTTTACTTCTACAGAAAGCTATTAAAACAAGTCCATATAAAGTTTCTGGAAAGCCAACAAGCCACTGCAAAACTTAATTTGAGATGTTACTCACTGGCAAATGAGACTGTATCATCTAGGTAACACTATCACAGTAAGCCTTCTGGGAACTTGCTATAGCAATCATTGTTTTGGAAGCAAGACCATCAGGTTTCAGGAGATATAAAAAAATTAATACCTGAGTGATTGGCTCCTCCTTAGTATAGTGCAGTTGCACACTGAGGAAAAAATACCCTGTTACTGAGAAGATGGAGAGAACTTGATGGGAGTATTACTGCAAGGTGGCAGCCTGCTAGCCAAAGTAAAGCCCAAATGCAGACGAGATAAAGCAGTATCAACACTATTGTTTCAGTTCTGTACTAATCAAATAATTTGTCCTTTCTGTAGTTCTTATAGGGATATCCCCTGTGGAACTGAGGTTCAGTATTTTTGTACTCACCCTGCCAAAAAGACTTCTTTTAATTCATGCACATTGCCAAATGCTATTCCAACATCTATTTCTGTAGTATCTTGGTAAACAAGAGAAGTTTTCTTCCCCTTAATCTTAAAAAATAAGGCTAGTAGAAAGTAAAAGAACAGCTCACTACACTACTCCTAAACTTCCATTCTATTGGAACAGTACTTGAGTTTCAAGAGATATTCCAACAGCCTTCCTTCCAATGAAAAGGCTATCAGTCATCAGCTTAAAGCTCCACACATTCAGACATGATGACGGTTGTTTAAAAACGTTATGGTCAGCCACAATGGTAAAAAACCCCACAACCACCCCCAACACAATAATCAGTGTTGCTGAAGTCTTACAGACACACATTTTTTTGTACTACTGATCTAAATATTTTTATAAATACCAACAAATTGATACCGTTTTGGCTGGCTGCACGCTACAACAAAAAAAAGAACTCTCAAATAAGTTAATGAAATGATTTAGTGTCTGCTCCCAAGAGCACCGCAGCTTTTGTGTTACCAAAAAGCTATAGAAGAGTATATTTTAAATGACAGGATCACATTTGTATGTGGAGGAATATGTACATGGTAAGGCATCAGCATCGAGAGTTACAAGAACTCATAAATCAACCCTTGTAAACACATATTTGAGACGTATTGAGTTACACATAAAGGAAATCAGAAAAATCTGTGGGTTTGTTTTTGTTTTGTTTATTGAAATACGAGCAGCAGTATGCAAAAAATATCTTTAAAAACATAACATAGCAAAACCTAATAATTTTAAAATTAACAAAATAAAAAGATGTTTAGAGTTAAATGAAAAAACTCATTGCTAGAACTGTGTTTCCTACAATGTAAACAAAAGCATAAAGGTTATGCTTGCAACAAACACAGAAGCAGGTTTATGGAGCAGTACAATAAAGCAACATTATGGTGTAATCTGATGGTTTGGTCTATTGATTTGAGCCCAGAATGGGTTACCTTCCTAAAGAGAAACTTCACAACTGCAAAAAAAAAAAAGTTAGTCACGTTTGTCTTTTGAAGCAAAACATTTACAAAATGTTTGGGCTTGTTTTGTGTGTGTTTGGTTGTTCGTTTTCTTTCTAAAAACCATCACTAGCAACACTTTGGGCAACTAAAACAATATGCTGAAAAAAATTATTTCAAACTGGGGAGAAAGCCTGACGCATTTTAACGTTCTCTAGACTTACACTGCAAAGGTATCTGCCCAAGAATCAACAACTTCCACACTGCAATACTGGGGAGGGGGAAATCTTAGCTTCAAGCAAAACCCCAAAGAATTCCAGTATTTTAAACAACGTTATACCGAATCATAACACATGGGCTGTTTCATCATTCTCTTGACTAATGGGCTGTTCTGTTGGATTTAGTCATACTAGAAAGTTTGATTTTGGTCCTACAGACACTATAAACCCAGTGTCGTCCCTTCCTGTACAACTACTTCATGCCTAATGCAAGGAACTGAAGGTAATCCTTAACGCAAGGCACTGGATTGACTGCCAGCAAGACTGAAGTCCTCTAAGGAGGAATACCCAAGCTACTATCTTATCTTAGTGACAGTAAAAGCAAACCCAGAAAGAACTTCAGTACATGCCTGTTCTAGGCTCTTTGCTGGTATTGCCAAAGCCCTTGGTTAATGCTGTGCTTGGTGCAAAGTAGAGAGATGCCCCAAAAGAAGAAAATACTTAAAAACTACAAAAGCCAAAACAGTTTTCACTGAAAAGTAACATTCAGTCTAAGCTGGGCTACACTGGAAAGGCTCCACCTCCCCCTACCGCACTACCGGCTGATTCAATTCCTCCACCCTTCCATCCAGATCAAGAAGTGACTTCTACACAAGTGCGCTGCCACAGAAGCAGCACACTGCCATCGCTATACTCGGAACACCATTAGGGTCAAACAGTTCTCCATCCAATCCGTCTGCGCGCTGACACTCAAATTTTGTATCGGCAGCACAAATGAACTAAACATGATTAGGAACGCCACGAACCAGTAGCACACAAAATCTGCTAACTAGAAAGCTCTCAAAAAGTCCTACTTAAAAGGAACAGAAAAGTAGAACATTGAGAAATCTCACTGGGTCTGCTCCTGCAAGGCTACCCTGCAGAATCAGCAGTCACAAGGCTATCCCCAGTACTGCACAAATTACAGTTCAAGAACATGTACACGAGTAGAAAAACACCAGAGTACTTTAGGACTTAATGACGGCATCAGAAGTGTGTTAATTGGATATTATTGCAGAAATTATGGTTCAGTGCATGGGTAGCCAATCTAACCACAATACTAGCACTAAGCACCAGCTCCGGCTCAGGAACACCCACTTCAGCACCCATTCTTGAGTCATTTAGTTGGCTACATCTACACATAGAAGTGAACAGAGATGAAGCCAGGGGAAAAACACTTTGGATAAAGTGAATCTTGTACCTACAACTGAGATCTTCATTAATCCAATGTGCCATGACATTTATCATAAAAGCTACTCAAGAAAAAAGAAATCCTGTAGTGTCAAATATACATATGCATTGTCATACATATGCAAAGTCAGGCTCGGGGAGAAGAAAAGAGAAGCCTGACCCTGTGGCCAACTGACTTGGCATCTTATTCGATCAAAAGAACCATCTGCGGGTTGCAGTTCCAAAGAACGAAAGAGAAGACCCCAAAGGTGAGTGGCAAATAATGTTGTTCCCCTTCTCCTGAAGATGCACTTAGTTGTTTTTAAACCCACTTGAGAAACTGCTTAAAAAAAACCCAAAAAACAAAAACAAAACAAAACCAAAACACCGAGTAATATAGAAATTCCTGTACAAAAGAACATTAGGTTCTGCAGAAGTATTATGGTTTATTCCTTTAAGGCATCTCATAAGAAACATTTTAATGACACGTAAACAATTTTATTCCTTTAAGATCATTCGTTACTTAGGTACCATGTGATGCACGATTGCCACATTTGAGCAGAAACTGTCATTCAATAGAAGACACAATAACTTGTGTAAGCCATCGATGTCTCAGGATTGCAGTAATTAACCACAACATACCTTTTAATAAGTATTTGCATTTTAGAGTTTTCAGCCTCTCCCCCAAACACTGAACCTTCTTCTGTGTTTGGGAAAGCCAAAAAGGAGGGTGAGAAGTTAAAAAATACAATAGATCTTTTTCTGCATGCAAAGAGATTTTGTATAGAATTCACTCCTAATTATCTTACAACATTTCTTTCAGCCTCCTTTTTTATTATTTTAAAGGGGAAAAATATGCATACGTTCTTTAACAGATTTCCTTTAGTGTTTAGTACAGTGTTTAAATTCTCTACTGAGTAATACAACAACATAGGCAACACGTGAGACATTTCATCATCATATTAATGCAATCTTTCAATCCCATAAAGCTGCCAACTACAGTTACGAGTCTTCTGATTGAACACCTGCCATCAGGGACAGGATCAAGACCATTGTTTCACATAGACTACAAAGAAGTGATTACTTTTGGTCATTACCAACAGGTCTGTATTAAATTACATGATCTGGAAGTAAAAGCTTCTGCATTCAGTTACTAATTTGCTAAGCCACTCACAGTCTTCAAAAAGACTCAAACCCATACGGAAAGGGAATTAAATACAGTGTAATCACTAATACTGCGTAATGTCTACTAGGAGATTAAAGAGGCCTAACACAGATCAATTCCAGACAGGCAAAAGAAATAGCTAGAACACCAAGAAGAAAACAAAAAACTTATTCCTTCCAAAAAGTAGTAAGCACTGCCATTTACAAATAGTAGTGTTTATGTTAAAATAGAGAAGGGTACCTAAAAAGAAATAGCCTTGGCAACCAAATCCAAACGGCATGAGTGTAAATCAAAGCAAAACAAGAATTACTACTCCAGAAACGTGCAAGATGTTTACCTTGTATCAATTACTATTTAAAATGGTGGTTAAAAGAGATAATACAAAACTGAAGTGGGAAAAGGCTAAGAACTGCTATTCTGCATTAATATATGTTTATGACAGCATTTTCCAATAGACAATACAAGTGTTTTTACACCACTCCAATATTTGTAAAAAGTATATTTCATGTGTACACTTAAACAACAACAAAAAAAATCACATTGTTCAATCTGAGGCAAATTAGCCGTAATAAAGTCTAATTTTGCTTATGACAGATGTCAGCCTTATGATGTTAAAACAACTACGCTAAAAATACAGCTTGCAAGCTGGAGCTGCACATGTTCAAACAGTTTCATAAACGTTAAAAAAAATCCCAAACCATGATATGTATTTATTTTCTGAAGTCAGTCCTCATAATTCTTGTCCCTACAGGACAAAAAGAGAAGGATTTTCCAGTTAAGACATATGCCTGTAAGTTCTAGGGGAAGGAGGGGAAAAGCATTCTGAATTTTTCAATAGACTTTTTCTCCCTTAGGGCTCAACTGTCACTTAAGCATCACAACAACAAATTGAAATGTAAAACTGATTAGCTATACACAATGGCATTGGTCACAAAGGGATTTAAAAAAAAAAGTTAAACCATAAGATCCACTCTCCACATAGCTCACAGTATCCACACTGGAAGTTTCTCTAGAATTAGAATAAGTTCGCTAAAAATAAGGCTGAAGATAGAATTTCAGCACTATGAAACAGATGAGATGGGATTAAGAGGAGAACCCATTTGTGTAAGTACTTTATCCAGCCACTGAAGGGGCCCGTGAAGATGAATTTCTATCCAGCATGGGGTGCTCGTGACATCTTGTCGGTGATACTCGGCTCCCCAGCCCTATAAAAATGAACAAAAAGTTATCAGTCAAGTTGAGGACGTGCTTGTCTTTCAAAATAACTGCACTAACAAGAAGCAGGAAATCACATTTTAAGATACTCATCTGAAGGTAACTCACAATTTATCAACACTTCTCATCTACAGGAAAAAACCTGAGGTTGGGAAGGCGCAGGAGGGAAGCTGCACCTGGAAACCTGAATCAAGTCTTGTCTGCTACAGACGCGGAGTGACTACACCAGCTCCTCTGGAACACACTGCTGACTCAAAAGTGACGCTTGGCTATGGCCACATCTCTTCTGTTTCTCCCTCCTGCTCCCTAACCCCCACACTTTCAAACTGAACAGTATTTATCATAACTGACAAAAACAAGACCATCTTTTGGACAAGATGCAAAAAAACCCCTGGAAGAGCCAAGTCTAGACTCCATGCTAAACCTGAAACAGGCAGCATCTTGATTAAACAATGCTGAGAAAACACTACGGTGAGAATAACAACACACTTTGACTTCATAAATTCAAATAATGTCTTTTTCCCCCCTTCTTCAATTTTTAAGAAAATAACATTCATCTCTTAGAAGGAGTTGCAATATTTTCTGTGATGACTTATGCTCCTCTCTACTCACGTTCTTTTAGTGGTCTTGTAGTTCACTTTATTCCTTCAAATTTAAAGCACGAGCTCAAACCTCTTTTAATAAAATTACAGGACCACAATGATTAAATCCCTGCCCTGAATACTGAAGTAACTAAATACATAGCCAACATTCAAAACAGCAATCTGTGCTTTTCCTTGCTTGCATTGATTTCCCTTTCCCCAAATTAACCATTTTCAACACACTTATTGAAAAGAACCACAACAGGTCAGAATAGCTTTGCTGCATTGTTATTGTGCTGATGTAATTACTGCTGGATTCTTAAATCCATAATAAATTTAAATGCCCTCAAAATAATTTGTTTACCTTTACAAAACTCATTCGAATGGTGCACATTTTGGTGAGCTCATATACCGCTTCAAATCCATGGTTGACAGACTGAGCTAAAAGCTGAGCAAACTCCTGATTGTTAAAAATTTTCAGACTGCATCCACTAGGAATCTTGCATACAGTTGTTGGATGAAAGCCGTGGTGGTAGTTGCAGTTCCTGCTCTGTACAAATATGCTGCTATCACTTAAACACTCGGCATAGACTTCCCCACCAACATAGTAGAGATGAACTCCTTGAAAACAAAGATAAAAACGTTTCCAATTACTTTTTTTCCAAAAATAAAGTACTTAATACAACTCCCTCAGAGACAAAGCGAATTTTCTGTTTGAAGAGCTTTTTAGAAGAGCTCTTTTGCTCACACTGTAACATACTTTCTCATTTCAAAATACAGGAGGCTTCATTAGCCATCAGCCACTAGATGTCCTCCTCCTATCAATTACAGAATAAAATGAAAAAACTACTTGCACATCTCAACAGTTATTTCAAGCTATTTTCCTAGACAACTTAGGTGGATTTTAAAACTCCAGTTCTGTAAATCTGGGCAATTCCAACAGAAATAAAAGTGCCCTGGGAGAAGGGGCAGTGGCAGACATGAATGAGAAAGTATATCCACAGTCTACTCTGATTTTCAGTATATTTTATCAAGCAAAAGGACATGCCAGTCCAATTAGTTGCACAACTTAAATACTACCAGTCCTTACAGACCTTAAAATCAACAAAGCCCATAGATTTATCACAACTCCCTGGATTCAGCTACATACATAAGTGCTTCCCTCCCCCTGTGTTCTGAAGCCTCTGTAACACTATTACTAACTAAACCTTAATACATAGAAGCTGTTGATCCTTTCAGCATCCAGACACAGACTCTCACTGGTACTTCAGCTGAGATACTCGCCTTCCTTCTCCAGATCTTCTCCCTTCCCGCCCACTCACCCCATGGGGATACAGTTCAGTCTAAGTCTTTCTTGCAATACCACTGCAGACTATCCCGTGGTTTGCCAGATGAGGCTGCAGCAAGTCAACAGATGCAAGTTAATCTTTCAGACAGCAGCAACTGCTGTGAACATTGTTAGGTCCACTTGGGACTAAGGCAGGATGAAGGTTACACAGAGGAACCACTGGCTTCATCAACTAGAAACAGCTGTCAGAAAATCTGGGGTGGGCAAGAATGTATTTTCACAACACAATGCTATTTATTTAAAGGCAGGGATGACTACTTGCTAGATAACTTCCTTTGGGTACAGGCCTTCTGAGAGCTCTCCGAAGAGGGGAGCTGGATAATACAACAGGCTGACAAGAACACAGATACTTCAAAAATAATCCAGTGCACAATTAGAAGTCACTTACACTTGCAATGCAAGGCACCTACAGAAAAAAAGGTTTGCAAATGGGATTGGGTGGTTTTAAGAAGGTAAAAACCCAAGACCTTCAAAACAAAAGCCATAAATAAATAGTATTTTGTCCCCAAACAATCTTAATTGTTCTCAGAATTGTTGCCATAAAGCAAAGTTTTAGTTTAATAATTAGTATTAGAGATGTAGACATTTAAAAGTTCTTTGCAGCCAATACTATTCTACAACACGATGCTGGATCCTTGTTACATTTCTGACCCGAGGCAGACGTGCAAGTTTTCTCTGCCAGGACCACTGAATGGGCTAAACCAAAACAAAAGAACCTGACAAACCACCCATGCCCCAGAAATCAGTTGTTCCCCTTTATGACATTAAATTTTCTCGGACAACAGCATTGCAGAGCCAAGTTTCCAACAGATATTAATACAACTCATGGTGTCTGGATTATCTACAAAATTTTGCCACAGTTATAGTAGTTCCTAATTAAAAGACTGTTAAGGGACAGGATGGGTCTTAAAGATATATTACAAGCAACGGTGACTTTCATCAAACAAAACTCAAGAACAACTGTACCAAGTGATCTTTGGTGTTAAAAAGGCCTCTAGATACGTGCAAGAGAAACAGGGTTCTCTTCTCAGGACTGACTTAGTCACAAATAAGGAGATATTCAGAAAAGGAGCTCTACATTTTAAGATAATCCAAGCACATTCCTTCAAGGATGAAAACCGTGCATCTGTTATGTGCTATCAGCCAAACAGTACGGGAAAACTAGAAGATCTTGCAAAACCTGCTGTCTCCAGGAATCCCTCCCACACACATACACGCCCCATGGATTCACTCAGACAAATGAGCCCTTGCAGTTTTGCATTAGCACTTCAAAGTCCTGTTGCCAACTCATCCAAGATATATGAACGTACTGTAGACAGCAGCGGTAATACCTTGCATGGACAAGAAAATAAGAAAAGTATCTCTAATATACCGTAAAGTGGTATGAAGAACTTGATTTAAGAATTAGATAACACAGAGTATCACAAGTTCTGCAATATGTTTCTTAGCGCTGAAACACAAAATTCTACATACAATCATTAACCATAACAAACAAGCTCCTATGACAATGTAGTTTGGTAAGGAAGAGATAATATTTAATCTTTTAAAGTAGTGCCAAAGAAAAATGTATGCAATTCCTAGACTAATTAGAATCAAACCATGCTAAATTGTCCTCCAATACTGGACAGGTAGATAATACATCACAGATGTATTATCTTCTACTACCCTTATCTGAGAATAATCACTGTTGCAGTATACAGAAGTTGAAATAAATACAAGCACTTTGCTTCTTAATCACACGTAACACAACTAAGCTTTACCTTTTCCAATATGTCGTCTAGTGTTCTCAATCGTTGAGTTGCGATTAACATTTGAGAGCAAACCTAAGCAGAACCTGTTTTTGTTATTGGAGGGATCTGTAAACCCATCTACTAAGACACTTGTAGAAGATGCATGAAAAGCCTCCCCAACACGATTATTTAATTCGTAATACACAATTGAACACCAGTGTTTGGGTTCTTCATAGGCAACAGGCTGAACATCTGCAAATAAGCAAAACAGAAATACCAGTTTATATAAGTGTTAAAATACTAAATCTAAAACTGTAAAGCAGGCCTTCCAAAATCAGGAAAATAAAGGCTTACTCAGCAGTTATGATGGGCAAGAACTGTCCTGATTAAGATCTTAACGATTTTCACTTTCATGCGTTTTAACTAGTCCATTTATTTTATGATTTTTTGCTATTTTAAGCCTAATATTAAACAAAAAAACACCTACACAAAAAAAAATAGATGACTGCCATATCAGGCGAAACACGATTCTTTGGTCCCCTTCTAAAAAATTTCTTATAGTTGGTATTTTGGGACTCCATTTTCAGAGCCTTTGTGCACATACAATTCCAACAGCAGGCAAAGGTAGCAGAAAAGACTAATTCTGAGAAATCAAAAAAAGCTCAACTTGTTGTAATGCACGCTATGCACCTGAGGCTTTAAAAGCAAGAGATGGAAATAAGCAAGGCAGGTTGTATTTCTCAGTTCTTTCTGTCACAGCTCCAGCTTGCCTTGGAGGACTGCTTCCACTTATCAACAAGGTTTACTGTGCCACTTCGAGTTATTTGTTCAATTTGGTCATGAGTTGCAAGAAACGAAACTATGCTAATTTTACACCATACCATGCAACTTACCTCTGGTAGATAAATTTGGCATGATTTGAGGGATCATTGTATTGCTTGTGTCCATAGACTGAGAATTATCCTGCCCCATCTGATCATCAGGGGGCATATATGCAGGAGGTGGAGTATCAGCTACAAACAAAAAAATAAGAATAAATCTCAACAATTTAGAATACTTATTTATTCATTCTACAGCTGTAAACACATAAAAATACTCTTGAACAAGAGATGTTAAAACATTTGGACCCATTTGCAAAGTAACCTGAAGACAACCCAGCCAGCTGTCTTTACAGTAAACTCCTGCAATAGCTGGATTTTTACCTATGGGACTAATAACAAGATTGGACACTTCAGAAAAACTGAGAGATGTGCTTTGCCTTTTTTTTTTTTTTTTTTTAAACAGCTCTACTCCTGCAGCTGGGCAAAATGACTATAGTTCCTATAGTTCCCACTTTTTGTCATGAAAACATTAGCTTTCTTGCCTACCCTCTTCTTTGTTTTTAAAAAGACAGTAGTAGTAGAAGAAATAACTACTTGCTGTAACATAACAAAGGCCTAAACCAGTTGGGGTTTTGCTGCTTCTTAGGCTGAGCTCACTACAAAAGCGTGGATCTCTGCATTCTTCCACTCAGCAGTCAGCGTACCAACACACTTAGCCCCTGTTTCAGAAATTCCCTCCAGATACCATTAACACACCGATCCCAGTGACAATGGTACTTATCCAGGAGGGATGCCCCACTCAATGGACACTCTTTTTGTGGCACCAGGCAGCCAGAAAGAACAAAGACGAGGCCACTGAGCTACTGGAAAAATAAATTCTTTACTCTATTAACTAACTGGCTTTATAAACCACACCAATAGCCAGACTCAATAAGGCTTCTTTCCTTTGCCCCATCAATTGTTGGTTTTTCCCCTATTTTCACCCAAATCTCTTAAGTTCCTATCAAAAATTGCCTATTTTTTCCAGTTAAAAACACATGTGTCTTTATTCAGAGAACGACATCAATAAACTTCTTGCTCAGCCTCTTAGATTTGCTTTCTTTTCATTGCTAGATATTGTTCCGAAGTATGTATCAGTTATTCTTGAAGCTGTGCAAAATAACTCACCACAGTTGTATCCATGAGAAAAAATACTTGGAAAAATAAAACAATTAACTCTGGCCAGTGACAAAACTAGGAAGAAACCCCCCTAAAATGCAAATAAAAAGCAATTTATTGCAAGCATCTCAAATTCCTGAGGTAGTAAGTCACAACAGCATGAGACTTTTAAATTATTTTTATGAAGTCGACATTTAGTCTGTACTTACCCGGTAGCTGAAATGGACTAGATGGTCCAGAGCTAGCTGGGGAGCTTGGGTAAGTGCTGCTGGCTGGAGAAGGTGGATAGGGACTGTTTGGCGAAATGGAAAATGGAGTGCTGTTGGGCTGCTGGAAAGAATCTGGAAATGTTGCGTTGTGTGGCATGTGTGGTTCATTGTGGCTTAGGTTCCTGAACTGAACTAGTAGACTGTGCTGTGGATTGAATTCGCTATGTCTAGGCACTAACACTGGAGGTAGAACTGAAAAAAAAAACCCAAACAAAACACAAACTTAGATTAAAAACTGAGATAGAAGGAAAGAGATACAAATAATGCGCTATTCTGGTCATCGAGGAAACTTCCACACTAGCTGGGGCGGAAAGAGGAGCAGGGGATTCATCTGTCATGCCTTCACTCCATCCTCTCTCCTTTATTTTTTTTACATTATGCTTCATGGAAGACTCAAACTTTACTCTTGCAAAAATCAGAGCAAAAATACACTTGTATTTCATGCAACTGGAAGCAGACTTTTTAAAAAAAGAAATAAAAAACAGTCCACATGTGGACAGATTTAGAAGTGCAAAACTCACTGTATGTGTACATGAACAAGTCAGTGAAAATGGAAATACAGCCTATATTACCACAGTCAAACTATATAGTTACATACAGCCTTCTTCACCGAAGACAAACAAAATCTATACTACAATATATAATATTGCTAAGCTTGACTTTTAAATTCAAGAGCGCTGGAGTCTGGAATTCAGGCGTTACAGTAGAACACTTGAGCGCTACAGCTGTGTGCACTGCAGTTACAACTATTTTGTAGAATAACAGAAGCAACTTTTCACTGTACTTTACTTCATCTCTCCCACTCGTAACCACAATCCTCCTCACCTTCTCCCAGGCAACATGCCTCAAGAGCAGACTTGCTACCTGATATTGCTACGTACCTTGCTCTAACTGTTCATCCCTCTTGGCTCTGTTCAGCTCTGCTGCCTGCTAATGGGAAGTCAAGAGGGAAATGCTACATCCTAGAATTTCTTTTTTTTTACCTCAATTCATGTCACTCACTAACAAAATATTAAGCCCCTGGAAGAAGGCTACCAAGCTCCTTGCAAGGATTCAGCGTTTTAAACAAGTTTCTCAAAGAAACTGAAGTCTTTTGATCACTGCTTTCTATTTTATTATAAGCAAGGACGTTGCCACTAACTTTAAGGGTAGCAGGCCTAAGAGATCAGTGGGAAAAGTGTGATCAACCACAAAGAAAAACAGCTACTACAGAACGGACAACACACCTTCCCACAACCCCACCAGAAAAGCACATTTTGAACATTCCTTTTCTGAACCCCCTCATATACCACATGTAATTTGTTACAGTACTGGAGGAGGAGGAGGGAGTGAACAATAAGCGATTTCTGGAGATTTTGTCCAGTTTTTAAGACAGCCATGTTCAAACATACCTGGGCTCTCCACCCTCTTATAGTGGTATGGATTGATGCAGACTTCCTTCTGTTTAGATCCAAAAGGAAATTCACAAATATCCAATGGCTTCAGCTCATGATGGCTTTGTAGATCAGGCCAACGCCAAACCCGACAGTAAATTACATGGGGAAGGCCTTTTCTGTGAGAAACCTGAAGTCGTCCATCCAACGAGCGGGGGATAGTAACACACTTGCTGGGCTGTCCTGGACTGCTCAAGGCTTTCTCCAGTTCTTCCATAGCACCCTTTTTCTTTTTCAGCTTTTTTACCAAAGCATCAACAGCTTTTTCTGCCCATTTTTCCTCTTCATCCCCTTGTTTCCAGCCCAATAGACGCTTTACAGCTGGGCTAGTAAAGGAGAACAAACTGGCCATTGACGTCATTTGACACAAGTCTTCAAAAGGTTTGTTGGGTTTTGTCCTTTGGGGTTTTTTTTCGTATATTTGTTTTTTCAAATAAATGTCAGTGTATACCAAAAGCAGTTATTGCCACTGATGAGCTGTATTATTTCTTGGAGGTGGACAAATGAGCATATAGATGGCAGTGATGAAGTCTTCACACCAAAAATAATAACCGAATCCTCCAATTTAGCTCTATTAAAAAGATAAGTTAACAAGTAATTAGTAAACAAGTAAAGAATGTGGTAAAACAAAAAGGCAGATTTTAAAAGAATCCCTGTTTCAACCCTAGCCATTGCACCTGATTTTGTTTCAAAACAAAATCCCAGAAGTACTAAGACCTCACCCCAAACTAAATAAAGTAAAATGTGATCAGAGTCCCCAATTCTTGCATTACTGATTGGTGGGAAAAAGGACAGTCAAGGGACCAAAGTGACAGCATGGTTTCTGTTAACAATGTTCCTTAAATCCGTGACTTTCCTTCAGAAGACAGGCTTGGGGAATATGCTTTAAAACTGGTATTATAACCCTGTCGTGGTGCTTCCCCAGAAGACTTACACTCACTATGAAGAAACAGGGAAGAGGCACAGTGGAACCAGTAGCTCCACAGCCAGTACTGCACTGAGGTACTCAGCTTCTCATATGGATCTTTATTTCCCCAAAGGAGAAAATACTAAAGCATCTGCTTGTTCTTGAGCTCTAAGTAGGTACCCCATGTTTTTTGAAGAGTATTACAAAAAATGAGGAAGAAACCATAGACAACTAAAACAAAACAAAACAATTAAAAGAAAACCCCAATAAAAACCCCAAAACAACCCCTCCCCAGCCACTCAGAAAGGTGCTCAACCTTTTCAGCTATGGCTATTTTTATGCTGCACTTCCTTGTATCTTTTACGAAGAATATTTGAAGCGCTGGATATTTTTAGCCTTTGGCAGGAAAAAAAAAATAAAAAATTGTTTTCTCCAGAAAAGGGTGGGGGAGCGGGGAAGGCATGGCAAAGTAAGCACTAGAAATGTGACCTTTACTACAAACTGCCTCGGAGGGGAGAGGAGAGGAGAGAGGCCGAACACCCCCGTGCAACTCGCACAGCGCTCATGAATGGCGGTGTTTTCTACCACTCACCAGCTCGAATGCAAATCCTCCCCCCACCAATTCAAGGGGTAACGATGACAAGAGGAAATGATGTGCTGTGGCAACGAACTGATAAGAACTTGTAAAATCCCTTGTGAATACTAAATAAGCAAGTATAGACAATGAGCAGCTGGCAAAAAGCAAGAGCAGAGCTAAGAGAAAGGATGTCAATAACAAAAGATGCTTCCTTTCTTGCTACAGAGACTGCCAAACAACATTGTCTCTCAACTTTTGATAAACCGTGGTGAATTAGAACACCTACCAGATCCCAAAACACCAAATCTGCACATTAGAGAAAAAGGTGTGGGGCAGGGGGGAAATAAGATTTAAGCACCTCTGTGCTTGTTCTCTTAGATTGCTACCTTTAATCAAAGGCATCTTTTTTCCTCCCATCTTTGATTAACTAGCAGTCATCTGATAAGGCTTTTCTAAGCGTCTAGGCACATTTACAAGCTCGCTCAGACAGATGGACGGGTGCTTTCCTGTAACAGAACTGTGTATTAAGCACCACCAGCCAAAGATACAGCAAACATCCCTAGGCAAAGCATTTGTCATGTCCCACATGTAATCACCCTGTATTTTCTACTAGGGGGTGGAAGGTCAGGAGAGCAGGTAACAAACTCAAGGACACTTGGCTACAATGAAGAGTATAAGTTTAAAAACTTTTAAACACTATTTACAGGAAAAAAATCCATTTATTTCTCACAGGAGCTAAATCCCTTTCGCACTTCTTTGATGATTCAGCTTTGTTTCAGTAATATGGAAAAAAATGGGAAAAGGAAAAAAAAAACCCAAACAGAAAAACTGTTTGAAGATCTTTCTTCCTAAACTCTCGTAAAAATAAAAAAGGGGAAAAAGAAATTAAGAGATTAGAAGTCTCCCACTGCTTCAGTAAGTCTTTAGAAGAGCGTACTGAAAAAAAAAATCAAAACCAATTACATATCATCTTATTTCTTCAGAAATAATAACGTCTGCACTTTCAGTATAATTCAGTGCCCTAGAACTATTACACATATGAGAACCTTTGCACCCTTCAAAGCAACAGGAAACACATAAAGGGAGATAAACTTGGCCAAGAACACAGGCTAAATTTATTCTTTTACTGAGGATAAAAGTTTACTGTTCTAAAAAGTAAAAGCTGTTTATAGTCGCAATTAACTTGCTTCCAAGCCTGGTGTACGTTCAATAGCTGTAAGATAGCAGCCATTGCTCACACCCTTAGAAAAGGAAATGAACCCACCTAGAATGTCAGACCCGAAAGACAATTAAACAGTTCTATTTTTGCTTCTCAGCTCTGCTTTCAAAGAACCTTAAGCATCATCAAGGCAGAAGATACACTAGAAATTTCCATAGTTAAGTTGAGCTCAAGTGAGATTTTAAGAAAGGCCTCTTGACTGTGCGCCCCCTGGTCTACTCCACTACTGCTGCCCCATCTATATTGAGCAATGACATTTTCAGAGCCACGATGTTGTTCTATGATCATGTCTAATTTTATTTTATTTTATTTTTTAGTATTTTGAACAAAACAGTAACATGCATCAACTAGGAACAAAATTTTACTGGTTGTGTATCATTTCAACATCACCTACCCACAAGTATGCTCATGGAATAAATAAACTAACTAAAAGCAAAGAAAGTTGGAAGAGTTCTACTAAAACGATGCTTTGCAGTAACTAGTATTTGCAGGGCAAGTGTCAAGAGAATTTTGACAAATTACTCTGTCCTATAAACTATGATTTTAGAAAAAACCTCCTCCTAATAAGTAACATAATTAACTCTAAAAACTTTAAATTAGTCCGAATATCTCATCAACAAAAGCAAAACCTAGCAGAACAAGTATTCCAGAAGTATCGTAACAAATTTGATCAAAACTGTTTTAACTTCTTCAAAAAAAGTCTCCACATACACGCTTGTACTATAACCACTGAAAAATGAGACTGTTGAAGTTGAAAACTTCAGGAGCATTTACTGTAAATCCATTCCGGCCACCCATGAGGCTTTCGAGACTCTTCTGCTGAAGCATGTTTTTATCTGTTCAAGAAAAGCAAGGGCAAAAGAGAAACCCTGCAACTAACTACTAACAGACTTTGAGAAGTACAAATGACACTGGATTTATCTCATTACAGGCCTTTTGGAAATTCATTTTGGAAGGCAAAAATACTGCAGGTTTATAGCTTTTGCTTTTTCTTAAGAAAACGAGGCAGAAATAAAAAGCTTCATGAATTATTTGTAGACTAAAAGCGTTTCCTTCTTTGGAGCTATTTAAGGTCACAAATCAGTAGGTTCAGGCATTTATGTAGAAACCAAACATTTTCATGCAGAAACTGTAGCTCTTGTAGGGTTTCAAAATTTCTGAATGAGTGGCATAAACCACATTTAGAACATTTACTCGCATTTTATGTATTTTCAGCATCTAATTTTTGAAAGGTTTCTAAGCAATCATGACATCTGCTAGGAACAGGTTCACCAGATCATCTATATTTAAAACCAATCTCCTCCGAGGTTAAAAGCACACGTTAGGAGCTATGATCGCAGTACAACTATGCATCGCCAAGATGTGAGCACAGAAAAAAGCTTTAGAGTCACATTGTCCTTCATAGCGCTGCACAAATTACTCGTATTGCTGCACCTCTAGGTGCACCTGGCAACAACCTCCATGGGGAAAAAAAGCTTTCTTAAATTTCCTTGAGAGGCAGAGGCTCTATCATGCATTACTTTGCTTTATTAAGTAACTTTTCAGCTGAGATACAAGACAACATCGGCTGAAAAACATGTTATTACATGTAAAACACCAGTTACAAACGCTCTTTAAAGAGCAAGTGTAATGCATTGCATGGGGTAGCACGAGGGGGCTCTCAATGAGTGAGTACAAAAGGAATTAATCACCGCATCAAAATTAAGACTTCGGGGCATGCATTATCTATACATTTAAAGTTCTTGTTAATGACTACAGCAAATGGAAGGAAACTCGTGGTGTGAACAGGTCCATTGTTTGAACCCTCCTTAACACCTCATCAAGCCAGCTAGATAAGCACCAAATCGACTCATGGCAGAACTTACAAATTACGTTTCATTCCTGAAGATGGGAGAAATAGACAACCTTTCATCTACCATCACAAGTACTCTACTATCTTTTGGTTCCTCTTCTGAGATTTTTCCTAGCCTACTATATTAAACTGGCAAGTTCAGCAAATTAATTGGATTTGCCAACAAGGAATCTTCTTCCTGCTAAAAGAGCCTGAGCAAGACCCACAGCAGAGCAGATCAATATCAAATTACATATCGTGTATTTATTTTAACGAGATGCACTTTTGCTGTAATGCGTTCTGCCATCGATTTCAAACTAATTTCCCACCTGCAAAATCTGAATTTTAAGTACCATTAAGCTGCTTAATTTACTTGTTTGCAAATTAAGAAAGCTTCCTGCAGCATCACGCCCAATCTGAAACAAGGAACTTCACTGCTCCTGCTTAGAAGCTGCTTTGAGACTCAATTTCATAACATAAACAAACCACGACTTATAACAAGCTGCACAACTGGCAGTTCGTTAGAGCTGCTGCAGATCCGCAGTCAGCTCTTGTGCTTAACTTTATTGCGCCCTCAAACTCAGAAATGCTCAAGTATTTTCACTCCATACACACATTAACGTATTATATATTCCTACAGAACACTCAGAAACTCAGTGATAGTGCATTACAGCATATTATGCTATACGCAGTTACCAATACTTTCTTTAAAACTATCTAAAACTACAACCTCACACATCAATTTCACCTGGATTTATTAAGGTCCTTCTTTCCTCATAAATTTCCTCACACAAACTGCATAGGATTGTGCTTGGGTTTTATTATCATTTTCCCAAGTCTACATCTTATACTGTAGCCTAGCATACAGTCTCATGTAATGGCATGCATTAGAGGACAAATATAGCAGAAATGTTAGCTCCACAGTTTTTCCAGGCACATCAAGGATTAAATGAACCCAAAGGTTATACAGTGGTTAAAAAAATTTGGGTAATAAATTTGAAGGGCCTACATATTCCACACCATTGCCTTAGCCTC